ACCACCCATCTTGAGGAGTTTGCCCCCTCACATATACTAATGTGCCACAAACAGGACTTTAATATCACCAACCATTCCCATGTTATTACGGTGTATCCATAGAAATGGCCCACCCTGTACGTTCACATCATGAAGACAACTCCTGATTCTTACAAGCATCCTGAGTTTGCCTTCGAAGGTTTTTTCTTAAACAAGTAAAGAATTCTGCAGTTATGTCGTAGTTGAACATAATGTACAGCACTTGTCACACACTGCTGCTTGAAGCTGTGTTAAAACAATGCAGATGTCTAGCATGTATGTGTTAAACCTCTGTATTTTCAGTTTAATTGTTAGACCTTCATGGTTTGTGATTGTTCATATGCGGCCAAAAGCCCCTTGATATGCATAAATGCCCTCATGGCTGGATTAGGAACCCTTTATTGACTTACAATGTTGGGGTATGTGATGGAGGGGGAGGATAACACGTGCTGGTCGAAATTCATGTATGGCCCTCAGATGGTTTCCTGAAATAACCAGCAAATAAATAAATAAATGTAGCAAATAAGCAAGAAGGTAAATAAAATCCAGTTTCAGAAAGCTAAAAATGTCTTTTTAAAGGCAACAAACTTTGACAGCAGCCTATGTCTAGTTGTAGAAACAAATGTGCTTTGTTAGACCTATCACTTTTAATTAAAAACGTATTAAATAGGACTTACTGAAACAATGGACCTGACACAAATTGTCTCTTTCTTGTTTTTACCTTAAAAACAGTCGCATAGAGTGGGTGTGGCTGCACTGGAGTGAGTACCTGGAGGCCTACAAAGAGTTTGAGCTGTGGTTGACAAAGCAGCAACGAAGCCATGATGTCGAGCTAGAAGCGCAGCTGGGAGCGAAAGAGAAGCTTTGGCAGGTCGATCAGCAGAGGGTGGTGGTGAGTGATATCAAAGGCCAGGCGGTGCTACTGGAGAGGCTGCTGGATGAGGCAGCTGCACTGCACAACAGAACCCAGGACCCCAGTGTGGATCCTCAGGCCCAGGAGAGACTGCAGGAAGCGTACAATCATGTCAGGGACAGAGCTGAGGTGAGGCACTTACTTGACCTTGTTCTTATGAAAAGTGTAAGGTGGCCGCTCTGTAGGCAAAGTTCAGAAGTCACAGTGCAGTTTGTCGTTGAGTCTATTTTTTCTTTTCTTTTTTAAAACCATTTCCTTTCTTGACTGTTAGTTGGGACCAGGAAGCAGAGTCGTAGCCTTACTGAGCGTCAGCTCCCAAACCAACAAAAACAAAGCAAAAATCTGCAAAAAATCCTTTAATTTTTTTTTTTAAAACACAGAAAGAACAGTGTAGTATCCACAACTGCACAAAAGAGTAAACAAATGAAATGTGGATTATTAAACATTAGGTGTCTGTCACTACATGAATTAATAATTGACCAAAAAAATCGATTTATTCTGCCTTATAGAAACTTGGTTACAGGAGGATGATTGTGTTAGTTTAAATGAATCAACACCCCAGAGTCATAATAATTGTCATAATCTTCAAAGCACAGACTGAGGAGTGGGTGTGGACTGATGGACAGAGCTGATTTAGTAGCATGCCTACACTATGTTAAACAATTGTTTTAATATTGTGGTTGATTGGTGGACGTAAAAGTAAAGCCTCCAGTGCAGTCCGGTTCCTCTGCATCAGGAAGCATGGAGCTTGAGAAACACCTACAGATGTAGTCGTCCTGAGCTGAAATGATGACAACCACTTCACGCACAAATTCAAACACCTACACACAGACTACTGGTGGGTCAAATAGTTGGTCAAACATTTTAAATATTCTCAAGGGACATGACTGTGTGAAGGGTGCAGTCTGGATGAATATGTCAATGAAGATATGTGGTGATATTTATTCTGTGCACCTGTAATCTGATCCAGGGACTGCAAGTTTACTGACTGAATAATTTACCTTACTAGTGAAGACAACGTTGGATTAGTCAGTAAGAGCAAACACATGCAGGCTGTTGTGCTGTTCCCTGAGTCACACAGTGTTCTTCCTCTTTCCCTTTTCAAATAGCTCTTTAAAATGTCAGTCGCATTTTCCCACACACTGCTTTTATAAGCTGAACAGATCAGTCTGCTTGCAGTGCTGTATTTTTAACTACAAATGGGAAACGTCTGATTTAAATAAAAGTGTTTTTTATTTTATTTGTTTTTCTAATGAGATTATATTCCCTGGAAGCCTCTCTTACTTGGAAACGCTTGTTAGTATTTTTCTTCTCTTTTATTTTTCAGCAGAAGGTCTCGCAGAAGAATACAAATTCATATTCAGGTTTCTCACTCAGACATCCAAATGTGGTTTAAGATGTTCGTTTGTTTTGAACAGTGCAATGCTAAAAATTACCTAGAGATATATCTCCCGCTGTGCTAGGAACGTCTTTCACTGCTTCAGAAGATCTGCGAGGAACACCAGACATACCAAGGTTGTGTTCAGAGGTTCCAGTCCTGGCTGCTGTCAAAAACCAAGGAACTGACTGAAGTGATGGGGAGGAATGACATAGCTGAGGAAAAGCTCAAAGCATTAAAAGTGAGACCCTGAAACTGAACTGATTTCCTAACTGATTGTGCACGTCTAGAGCAATTCTGCTGCTATGTTTACCTTAGTTTAGAGGTAACTTAGATTAGATTTTAGATTGTTGTTCCAGATGAGAGCTGGTTGCTGGTTCAATCACTCTGTAAAATTAGGCTTTTACAGAATGATTCAAAGCTTCTGGCCTGAAAAAGGTCAAGAGGTGCACATTTTTGAATGTGAGGTCTGAAAATTTGAGTTACCTTGGTAGGTTGTCGTATATCTTTGCACCAGCCATCATGCAATGTTTTGTCTCTTACCTTTTTCAGGCTCTGGATGACAGTGTGGCCTGTGAGGAGAAGGCCCTGCTGGATATTGAAGGCATGGTGGAAAGCCTCAGGCCCAACACCTCTCCTGCGGGAGTGGAAGAAGTGGTTGAAGAGGCAGAGGAACTGAGGCTGGGCTGGCAGCGACTGAGGGAGGGTCTTTGCAAGGCAGATGAAGGCCTCCGCTCCAGCCTGGATACTCACAGTCAGTACATGACCCGGTGCCAGCGGCTGGGAGACGATATCGGCCGCCTCAGAGAGCTGTTCAAAGGGCTGGACCAGGAACTGGAGGAGACCCAGGACTGCAGGGATCGCATTGACCACACTGAAGAGCAAATGGTTGGCCAGTGGACAAAATACACGGTAGGGTTATTAACCATATCAGCAGTGTTATAGTGTAAAGGGTAGTGGAGATGTAGATAAATACAGGAAAGTCCTACCTCTCCTTTTCCTGCCGTTTCTGTAACCAAGTTACTGTGGTTCTTTTAATGTGCTGATGATCGATTTGTATACTGTCTGGGATGTCCTGATGTAAAGAATAAAAAGAAAGCTCAGTTTAGGTTCCAGTTTAAGTGGCCAGTGTATGATTGAGGGTAACAGATGTTGCACAGAGCAGTGTACAAACCTACACATTGGGTCATAAAAAATGAAAAATGTGTTTGTGTTACATACATATTGAGTTATAATTGCCATGTTTATGGTTAGCTGCCTCATTGTTAGCTTTGTATCCCAGACTTTGAGTAGGTTAGAGGGTACTTTAACAGCCATCCAAGTGTGTCTGATGAATCACTTCAGACTGTTTTTGTTTTTATTTTGTTGTACCTGTCTGAGAGAACAGTATCATTCTGAAACAGACAGTCACTGCTTACCAACTAGCTGTAACTTAGCCCCTCCCTAGCGTCTTGTGTTTTAACATTCCAGGTTGCTGTTGTTGTAGTCTCTTTGACTGTTCAGCTGCTTTTCCAGAAAGAATCTCAGATGCACTCCAGCTCTGCTTTATACTGGAGTTAGTATTTCTGTTAACCTGTTCATTCTCTTACCTCTTAACCTCAAGAAAACAATTCATGTCTGCGTTTTATCCAGGCTTTATTATTGCAAAAGGCAATTAAGCCAATAGGCATTTTTAAGGCACTAAATGGATTAGCACCTTTCTGAACTTTTAAATAAGTAAACTAAGAACAGAACTTTAACTTCAGCTGGTCAGATGCTTCTGGTTGTTCCGAGAAGCAGACTAAACCAAAGACTAAATCACATCTAGTTGTAGTTTTTAGTTTAGTTAATTATCACATCTTTGCTGAAAGTTGTCATTTGTCAACATTTTGTTAAAAGAAAGTAACACCAGAGTTTAACTGGTTCTTTGTTTGAATGTGCCTTTACTCCCAAATTGTCATGATAGTTAGTCTGATAGTTTGGTTTGTTTTTTTTGGTAGTCCTGAACACAAACAACATGTTTCCAAACAGTACATTGCAAATGTTATTTTATAGACAAGTTTCTCTTTTCACTTAATTTCTTGCCATTTCGAGGTATTCTCCACTGTCTGATATGTTTGTTTGAGACACCGGATTCCTCAGAGAGGTGTGTCAGTCACATTATTAGTTCTATCTGCGTTCCTAGAGACGTAGCCAGATTTATTTTTTGCAGACGAGCTCTGTACCTGTGGAGTGGCTTCTGTTAGGTGTGTCTGGAATGCCAGACGATCTGGGGTATTCATCTGTATAATCGTCTCACCTTGAAGCAATCTTATGAGGGTTTTTTTCTTAAGGTCGGGAGAAAAGATAGTAGGATCAAGTTCATTCCCAGACTCAGGGGAAGGGTGGCAGTCAAGGAGCCATACTTAAGTTAGGGGACTGGTACAAAATCACAGGTATGCCAAATTATATGAAAACTGCATTGGAAATCCATGGTAACAGACCCCAAGATACTTAAACTCCTCCATTTGGGGCATGAACTAGCCCCCGACCCAGAGTGGGCACTCCACCCTTTTCCGGCTGAGAACCACGGCCTCAGATTTGCCCCTCCGCGAATCGCTACCTTATCGTGGTGGAGGGGTTTGTGTGTCACAGGGATCCCAGGAGCTATGTTGTCCAGGGGCTTCTGCCCCCTGGTATGGTCTCCCATGGCAAATTGGTCCTGGGTGAGGGACCAGACAAACAGCGATTCAGAAGACCCTTATGAGAAAACCATAGAGGGAACAATTCATCCAGCCCAGGATAGGGTTACCGGGGCCCCGCCCTGGAGCCAGGCCCAGAGATGGTACCCAAGGGTGAGCGTCTGGTAGCCGGCCCTTAGTCCAAGAGGCCCGGCCAGGCAGAGCACGAAAAGGGGACATGGGCCCATCCTCCTGCTGGCCCACCACCTGCAGGCGCCATAGGGATAGGGTGCATTGTGTGTTGGACGGCGGCCAGGAGTGGAGACCGTGGTGGACTTGATCCCTGGCTAACAAGACTGGCAATTGTGATGTTAGTTGGACATCTTTGTAAAATTGATGAAATTATAAATGCAAAAAAGTACCACAAGATCTTCATCAACCACGGCATCTGAATAGTGCCTAATTGGCAGGACTTTATTGTTGAGCATGACTGTGATCCCAAACACAGCAACAAAGAAGAGCTTTGATTAACATCCTGGAGTAATTTTTTTGTGTGTTTTTCAGCAACTGTCACACATGCTTCCTGAGCAAACTCAGCCCGTTCTTTTTTTAGCAAATCTCTCGCGCTGCTCCAGAGTTGATGGTCTTCTGGCATGAGCCTTGGACTTTATTATGGAGGTATTATGTATGCTGCATCCCCTCAGCATAACACTCCTTCCACTGTGGAGGGAGTGTTAAAGTGTTGTTTGGGTTGTATCCCTCTTCTTTCTTTATCCAAGCGTAAACAGTGCCTCATTGTCCAGAGAGAGTTCTAGTTTCTAGTCTCATCTGACCAAAGGATGCTTCCAGTATGCATAATCTTTCTCCAGGTTGTTCTAAGCATACTTCAGTCTGTTTTGAAAGTGTCTCTTCTGCAGAGGTGGAATTTTTCTTAGTTTGCAGCCTTGGAGTCCATTCCTGTGCAATGCTCTAGGGGTTGTTTTCTTTGATATTACAATTCCCAACTTGGCTAGGTCATTTACTCATGTTAAGGTAAGGTCTGTATACATGTCTCTGATTACTTTTGTTTCTTGCATCTTACCTCTGCCAGGCTTGTTCTGCACTCTGTGGTTTTCTTTGAATTTCTTGATGATAATTCTCACTCCATTTTTGACCCTTGGAAATGCTGTGTTTCCTTTGTGTATCCACAGAGATATAAAGAAATGAGAATGAGTCAAAGCCTTTACATAGTGCTGTTTATTGAACCATATTGCCTGTGTGACACCACACTAGGGACAAGAGTTGAAAGTCAAGAGCAACTGCTCGACAATGCAAACACACGCAGCTATCTCTAGAGTTTTCAGAGAATGGTCTTTAAAAGAGAAAATATCCAGTAAGTGGCTGTTCTCTGGGTGAAAATGTCTTGTTGACTTCAGACAAGAATCGCTAGAATCCTTGAAGGCAGTAGAAAACAGCACGTCCAACCTTCATGCAGATAGGCTGCAGCTGTCGAAGACCACACCAGCTGCAACCCCTGTCATCTAAGAACAGGAGGCTGAAGCTATAGTTCACACAGGCTCACCAATATTAGACAGTAAAATATTGGGTAGTCTCATTAAGCTCTAAATCTGCTACAACATTCAGATGGTAGTGTCAGAATTTGGTGTAAACAACATGAAACCATTAATGTATCCTGCCTTGTATCAGTAATTCAGGGTACTCAGTCTGTAAGTTGTACGTTTTTAGTATTTTGTATTTCAGCTAGGAGTTAGAACTAGGAAGTGGATGGCCTTTAATTAACCCTGGGATTGATTAGAGTGCAGGATTATATACCGTAATTGTCGGGCTATAAGCCGCTACGTTTTGCACAAGCTTTGAACCCTGCGGCTTTTAGTCAGGTGCGGCTTTTCTATGGATTGTCC